TGTTGTTTGACAACAAAATCATTTTGTTGACTTAATTTTCAACTGGTCTGTCTTCACAAAATCATGTGTTAGTCTAATAGACCCCTAAGAACTAATATATGTACAACTTAGAGCAATTAAATGCTCTTGATTCAAAGCGATTTAAGAATTTTCAAAGCGGCATATAGACCGCTGATGTTCATAAAAGCTTTTATAAAGACGGTTGCAATGGGAGTAGTTCAATTAGAAGTAAAGTCAAACGCCACGTTGTAAAACGCACTTAAACCATACTTTGAAAATGCTTGGTGTGAACATGTTCATAAATACATTTCATAATGAATCGTATGACATTCGCATTCTTTCTAATAGTAACTCTTCTATTAATAATCACAAACTGTTAGATTTTTTCTAAGTTAACATCATTAATAGATGCCATCAATTTTTTTGATTCGACATTGTGCCACACAAAACATAACCAAACATACTATAGAACCTCTTATAGTTTTGTAAGACGTTTTAAAGTGAATAAATACCCTTAAAATAAATGTGTACTTATTCACGTGTAATCCCCAAAAAAAAACTGCATTCAACAAAGATATAAAAAATTGATGTCATGTATGAAATTGTAAGTTTTAAGCTACTTTAGTTGTTTTTACATTTCATTATATGGAATAAATTTAAAATAAATGTGACCAATATATAGGGTATTTCGTACCAACATGCTGCAATTTGGAGGAGTGTTTTCTTGGTTCGAGAAACGAAAAAATCGTATGGGAGAGGGAAATGGGGGTCCATTGCAATATTTACCAATATACAGATCAAAACTGCTTTACCTAAATAGCATAATTTGTATACAATTAGATATTCTTTGACATCATACCTAATTTTTCAACATAATTAAATCGTTTTTAAAGTTATGGTAGCTCTATGTTAATTTCTCCTGCAAAATTTTCGATTATTTTCACGAAAAATGTCATTTTTGATGAATATATATGAATGTCAAAATGACGAATAAACCAATGGGTAGCGCGGAAAAATTACTTTGTAAAGAATATTTAAAACATAGAAGTCAAGTACGGCTTTGAGTCATTTAGTTAAGGTGCACTGACTCTGAGTTTTAAATTTGGTAGGGCACGATTTCGATTTCTGGTACTTGCAGTCTTAAAAAAAATTATTTACAAATAAATAAATACAAGAATTATTTTCATCACCACTGATGATGGCTATTTGGCAATACTCGCAACAGCTGTATGGTCAACTAAAAATTCAATTAATTAGAATAATATAAAAATGAATTTTTGTAATTCACTACTCTTCAAAGAATATTTATAGAATTATGAAATATTGATCTACAAAAAAATCAAAATGTTGAGAAAATTATATTTACTATTAAAATTATTGAGCATTTTTTATTAAAAAAAATTAACTTAGAACTACTAAAAATTTTGAATCTATTAATGTAATAAATCAGCTTAGGTATCAATCAAACAAATTAGATTAGATTTTACTTATTTGAATGATTCATCTAGAAGATGTTGAAGATATTTAAGTTATCTATTTTTAATTTATTGAAGCTCTTTTTGTTGACGCCCTTATCTCGATACATATTGAAATGTTAAATCGTCAAACCAAGTATTTATTTTCAGGGTTTAAAGCGCGTTGATAGGAATGACCCTGTGTATGTATCAATAAAAAACAAACACATTTTATACTGTAGTTTAAAAAAACAAATAAATAAGAAAATAAAAACAGAGTGATGTGCATAATTCATCAACTTGTAATTGTAAAGGTTTATAGAGATATCATTAACAGATTCCTTTCGCAATAAAATGAAACAAAAATGACAATATTCTGAAATGCAAACAAATTTAAATGTAAAAAACTCTTGTGCCAATTGAGAGTGTAAATAAATTTTCCCATTGTGCTGTGTAATGCACAGAATTAAATCAGAAAAATACAAAACTTGTATAAAACAATAGTGCAAATACTGCAACGAAATGCAAAATAACCATAGGAACAAGTATAAAGTATAAAGTACTTGTGAGCTTATGTTTAAAGTGGAAAAAACTGAAGTCTGAAAAAAAAAATCAGCCCACACTGCAGTATATAACATTTTTTTTATGGTTAAAAAAACATTTAAAACGAAAAAGAGTCATAAATTGTATTTAACGCACACTTCATCATTTATCACTATGCCACGCTAGAGAATACCACACCATGGTACATCATTCCATGCAGCTTCCTGCCGTGCGGTGCCATGTTGCGCCGAGCTGCTCCTCAAGCGAAATTATAGAATATAAAAACGGAATGGTCTGGTCGCTTGTGGATTTTTTGTGGCGTATTAAATGTATTTCAATTTTCAGTTGTGTTTTGGTTACATTACCGAAATATTCTTTATTTTTTTTTTGTATTATATTGCGATCAGATAAAACTTTCAAAACAAAGTTACTTTTACTGAAAAGTAAGACTGTCTGTTTAGAATATCAGTGATCTTCGTTTTTTTTTTCTTATCAAAATAGGTGTAATTTTCAACTGTGATTGTATTTACAATCTATATTTATACTGATTGTGTTAGATATAAATACACCTTATCAGACTATGTTATGTCTTCTATTTTAAATGAAATGTTTTCTTTATGATCTGATAGGATAGATTTGTTTATTACGATAAATCTGTTGAGATTCACTTAAAGCTCGATTGTTCGATTGTTCAACATTATACAACTCCAAAAAATTTAATACCATGAATGTTAAATGTAATCCTTAATGTTTTTCAAGAAAACATCTTGCAACAAAATAAAATCTAGAAAGATCAAACATCTTGCAACAAAATAAAATCAAGGAAGATCTTCTAACATATGCGCTAGACAATGACAGAGCATGCATATGTGAAACTATTTTTACTTATAAATTACAGCTGCAGCAGTAATCATTGAGGGAAAAAATCAATCTCCTAGCATGGTTTCCTAAACATCAATAACCCTTTATCAAACCCACCTCTCACTCAGTATTCAATAATTCTGCACATGAGGAGTTCAACAACTTTTAACATAATGCCTCAGTTATCTTCCTTAAGTACTGGTTTGCTTATTCACCTTACTATTGGGCTGCGATGTTCCTGTAGTTAGCAAAAAAAAGTTCACAACTGATATCTGTTCCCAAATCAATGTGCCAGAGAAGTCGAAATCGAGTTTAGGAATACATTTGGGCTAAGCGTAGTGTTATAAATTTGTGCGTTTAATTCAGTTTGTCAAGCAAATTCATTCATTTTGAGTAAGTTTAACCCTAAGATAATTATATAAATTTTTACACAGCCTCAAAATATGTGATATTCGTTAGCTTTAGTTGTAGTTCACATCAAAATCTTAAACTATTCGTTTTTGAAACCTGTCAAGTTTTAGCTTTATATCCTAATATACCTACTTGCTAGTATATTATGGAAAACCATGAGCTGCATCCATAAATTATTGGTAGTAAAATTGAAGAATAAGCTAATACGCGCCTCTTATGTAGAAAACTTAACACAACGCCAACTATCAACAATTGCTACCATTACGGTACGACAAAATTTCTCAAGAAGCATACTGTTATACTGTGCACGGGATGCAGAATCCGGCAAACCAAAAACCAAACCAACAATTGCAGCAGCAGCAGCAGCTCCATTACCCGTTAACGGCTGCAGCGAAGCCCGCGTGTTCCTCAAAACAAAAGCACAATGCGCAAGGAATAAATTTTTCTTTGTTCCCCACTTGTGTGTTTATGAAGCTGTTTAAGGGAAATTCCTCTTCTGTGTATCTATGTGAATGCAGCATTGCTTGTGTATGTGCGTTATCCGCGTACACTTCGTTTGTATGTTAAATATATGGTTGGCTTGTGTACATTCGTTAGCACACAAGTTTAATTTTTGTTGCACTAAAAATCCACTCAACCGCATAAACAGAGAATAGAGGATGCACCCCCATGAAATATAGTTTCAATGGAAGTAGCAGTTGCCTCTATACAGTACCGTGTTTGCTCAGTTTTCTTTTTTTGTTTTTGTTCTATTTTATACTACGACAGGTTGAATGTTAATTTATTAAATTTTTTCACTGTGTATGTATGCTCATTATTTCTAATTTTTCTCCTACATTTTTCCACAAAGTGTGAACTTTCGTTACCTATACTAAAAGTTAGTCCAGTAGTACTATATAGATCGAGCACAGAGACCGAGACCGAGACGGAGTACTGTTGTCTCCTACTGTGCAACAAACACATTTCACCACATGCAGCATCTGCTGCTGTTGCGGATGTTGCTGATGTTTTGTGCTTCTATGTAAATGTGCTTAAAGAGCCTTGTATATATTTTTATTTAAGTCCTTAGTCGTTCTTTTAGGGTTTTTATTTATTTATTTATTTTTTTTTTTGGGTCGAATAAGTTGGTCATTAATTTCGTATAAGCGAGGATATTAAATGGTGTGGTTTTCGCATTATATTTTAATGGTTAGTTATTTACTGGAAGAAAGTGCAAAGTGCAATACTACAGCTTTGGTGAAGTCAAAAATTTAAAACTAAGCTGTAGCTTATGTTTCCACTCTTTCTTTGACTTAAAAGCGCAATTAAATGTAATAATAAATCTTGTTATAACCTGTATTGAGAGTGCCGAGTGTTATACACAGTAATCCCCCCAAATAACGCGGTAGATTGGTTCCGTGTTATAGGAAGTATTCCCGTTTACCCCGTATACACACGTGCAAAGGTACGCAAAGCTAATTATGAACTGTACAAATCTTCGTGTTATACGGAGGATTGAAATCACGTAACATGAAAACGCGTTGTAAGGGTACCGCGTTATAGAAGAAATTACTGTATATACATATATATAACATATTGATTGTCTAAGAAGACGGTTAAATCCGGCAAGGATCTATGTCGCTGCCAATTAACATATGCTAATATATGACTTTTGTAAAATACAATTAAAGTTTCCAAAGCTTATTAGTTAAATATCTGAAATATATTTTAATAAAAATTCTTATTTTTCAGGGTGTTGTTGCTTTCAGTTCACAAGGCGATCGTATCGCCTTAACACAAATCGAACAAATGGTTAATGGAAAATATGAAAAACTCGGTTATTATGACACTCAGCTGGATAATTTGACGTGGTTGAATATGGAACAATGGATAGGAGGGAAGGTAGGTTAAAAATTAAAAGATATTATTTATATATCTTTTAATATTATTTATTTTTATTTATTGTTTATTAATGGTTGTTTTTGAGCAATTGACCAATTAGCCCGTTTCAAAATAAAAATAATAAATAAAATATTATTTAAAAATGCTTAATTTTACACGCTAGCGTTACAAAGAACAAAAGTAGGTAGGCAGAACTGATTGTAGAGACCTATTAACCTAACAGACTTTAATTATACCAAATTAAATTCCTTGAAATCGGTGAACGAAAGTAATATTAAGAAGAAGTTCAACCCAATATCAGTTTTACTTTTTTTGTTTATCAATCAGTCCAGATAGCTAAACAGATGATACAACCAGTGTATGTTAAATATTGGCTAGAAAAATACAATATTTACAATTTTCAAATTCTTCTGCATAAAGGAAGAACCACCAAAAGAAAGGGGTCAAAAAAAGAAATGCTTGCTCTAATAGGCGACAAAATTCTAGTAGGTATACTCCATTACAATCTTAAGTATAAATAGTGATACGTGAATTTTAATTACTTTCATAATTCATATTTGAGTAATTCATAATTAGGTATGAATCTTGTACCACGGACACCAGTTTTGGCTGTCCTGCTCAATTAAGTTTGTCTCCTTTAATAAAAGTATCGTAGTGGCTAGGGTGAGTAAGAATAATTGTGTTCATTACTTTCAATCAATATGGAATTGCATTTTACAACTGGGTGATATGCTCCTAAGTACAGCAGAGGTGTTATAAAGGTCCCAAAAATTATAGCTTTAATAAATGCCGGCAGAATTCTTTAATATTCTAATCATAGCATTTATCGTGACAGGTCATCACTATAAAAAGCTAATAACTCTGTATAAAATAAGTAAAGGTTGTGAGCTAGGAATTAATTCAAACGTGTTCAAATCACAATTACTTAACCATCTCATTCCCAAATTGATTCATTTTTGATTTTAGCATGTTGAGTATCTGTTAATTACTATATTATTTTAATTTCCCATTTTAATTAAATAGCAAATACAGCTGAAAAGTCTCTGGACCTTTAAAAAATTCAGAAAATACGAATTTGATCTTAATGCTCCTTATTGTTAAACTTTAGTTATTGAAGGTCAAAGGTAAAGTACTTTTTTTGATACTCCTTAAGTTCTTAAAAGCGTAAATCCTATAAAATTTAGTAACGATTCTGCAAACTTCTATATACTTTAAATATTATTCAATCAGTGATATCAAATTATTTATTCGACTGTCTAATATAGTTTTATTTAAGCTGATCAAATCCTTAAAAAGGCCTGTTCTTCTTTTGGCAATAGTGGACTTATTTACGATATAAGCTAAGACTTTGTTTGTCCTCCAATGGCTGCCAACTCACTCACTCAACTCCTAACTCAAACGGTACGATTAGTCTGAACACAGTCTGTAAAATATCCACGATAAATATAGTGTTGTAACTTTTTTTAATTACAAATTTTCTACTACCATTCCATGAAGGAAGAACTGAATTTAAAGTGTGGTAAAAATAAGTTACTTAAAATTAATGGAGATGATTCGAAATTAATTAGTGGATTTATTGAGGACCTCAAGTTAAAACTAAACTTTTGACAAGTATATTACGAAATTTTTTTCAGTCAAAAGTTAATACTATGCACTTTGCAATCAATTAATTTTACTTCAAACGTATTTGCTTCTTTGAGCGATTTCAAACGATAGTTGACCATATTAGTACTCAAAATATCATATGGCTTTGAACCAGGCCATATACTATCAGTAAACTTAAAATGTGTACTACGTCATAGATATATTTTAAATCCTAAACAAATGTGGTGCTTTGTAATGTCTACTGCGGAGAAATTTAAAATAGTGCTATAAAGCCATAAAGGTTAATAGTAAATAATTTAACATATTGTCCGGTATCCCTCAAATCGAGTTCCCACCTGCAAAGATAATAAGACATTGATTACCTGCAATTTCGATCACTTAGTAGCACAATCGTCTCCACAGTCAACAGATTTAAAAGCGTTCAACTTTGTACTCTTGTAAATGAACACTGTGTAGACCAAAGTTAGCACTAAATAAGACTACTCTGTTGATATACTCAGAATGATAGCATTTATTCGTAAATGGATGAAGATTCAGCAGGTTTGGATTTACCATGCGATTTGTTCAAAAGCCACTGTTTAGTTGAGGAGCGACTATATCGAACATTCGAAGAGAGAATTCGTAAAAATTTATTCTTTTCCATAACATTGTATCTTTTAAGTGTTAAATAAAATTTAACAGTATAGAAGGCTCGAACAGTATAGTAAAAATGACTATTACCTAAAACTATAATTAAGTTTTATGTGTAGAAAAATAGCTTGTAAAAGCTCTAATTTAGTATATTAAATAAAAAGTGCAAATAATGTCTACATGTTAAGAGATATTGTATTAGGAACTTAACTGTAATAGACTAAGTGAAAGAAACTTTTAATTCGAGCAATATCAACAAATATTAATGCCGTACGAACGCTTCACGAAAAAAAAACCATAAGAGCAACACCATCGACACATAAACTTTCGCAACTACAAGAAATTCTCGGACGTCCTAGAATAAGTACACTTGAAGATATCATTTAATGTGATTTTAAATCAATTTAAAATAAATCCGTTTAGCGAGTAACTCACTTATCCCTACTATCGACTAGTAATCAATATTTTTTTACCTGTCAAAAGGAAAATCTACAGTGCAGTGTTGAAGTAGAAACCAATTCACGCTTAGTAAAGGTATCGCTTCGATTTCTACAGTCTCATATTTACCAAGAAAATATGGACACAAATACCACGGTAGGGTAAGGTAAAAAATTGCACAACATGAAAGAATTAAGTACTGTACTTATGAAATAAGACGGCAAAATGAAAGCGTAAATCCAAAGGGAACTTTTACTTATACCAGACCAAGAGCTTGGATGAGGCACGGTTTTAAACTGGAATACATAGGAGTACAGTGCACTTTGGTCTTTGAATGTTGTAAAGGAAAGAAAAATGAAAGAACATCAAATAAAACGAAATGTTTATGTGTAAGTATGTCTCTTCCACTTCTGGGATGTATGTGCATTTATGTGTTGGCTGCTTCCGTTACTATTTCAACAGCTGTTGAAATCGATGATTTATTTCAAGTGGTTCACTGTATCAAAGGCAAATACTTGGTGATATGGCAGAGCATATGTCAGTAGTACTCGTAAAAGCAATTGGACTTGGGACTGGGAACTAGGCAATCGACACTGTGGCATGCATGTGGTATTTGTTTTTATTGCTCGCATATAGGGAAATGCACTCTTGCGTTTATTTGTGTGTGTTCATTTCCTATTTAAGTTAAAACTGAAACAAGTTGACTTAAGTAAGCACAAAAAATACCAACCCAGATCTACAAAAAAAAATAAATAAAAAAAAATTAAGAATAACTCAGGATAAATATAACGTTTAGTGCAATTTTATCGTTTGCCATAGCATACCAAAAGCCCAAACGACTCACAAAAGTGCAATTTGAATAATTTCAAAATAGAAACGTTGATGCTCCAATACATTTTGACCATTAGAATAATTTAGATTCTGCTTTTGAGCACAAAGAACTGGCAAATTTTTAAAGAGTTTCTTAAAAGAATTCTTGAATTAATGTAAATGCTTTCTGATGTACGCTCCACTAAAAACACAAGAGTGAAACAAACACTTAAAAGGAAAGTATTTGCAGTAAATATCGTTAAAATAGGTAGATTTGAACAGCAAATTTTGATATGAAAGATATACACATATTGATTGAAATAATATTAATAGCAAAAAAAATATTTGATAAAAATATAATAATCCTTATTCTTTCAATTGCCAACCTTTTACTAATTTGCACTCATAAATATTCAATAACAGAGTTCTGTACCAGAATTACGTTACAGAACTTATCTTTCTAAAGTAGTTGATTACTACTAGTAGCTTTCAATGAATTAATAAAACTGCTTTTCACCAACAATCATCTTGATATTTACTTTATCTTGCCATTGACTCACATAATTCAGTTAAGTTTACTGCACTACTATTAGTGTGAACAGTATTTTATATATTATTCTCATTATGATATATCTTATGCTACAGATACTCAAACATTCAAACATAAACAGATACTCAACATTCTAACTGAATCCCATTCTAATATTTCACTAAAATATTCCACACTTTGTGAGGAAGTAGAAAACATTACAAATTACAAAGAGGTGGTGAGCTGTAATTCAAGTTTCTTACAACGTCAGACTCAAGAAGTTTTGGATTGAGTTTTGAGAAGACGAAACAAAAGCATAAAAAAGGTTTCATGACGTCATCATCTTTAGCACCAACTGGAAGTAAGCTATTGTTCGTAAGATCAATATTAAAAACATATTTGGGTCAAGCGATATTGTCAGTGAATGCACCCATTAGTAATCTACAGTCATAAAGAAACCGATGGCGTTTCCAGTGATTTCGGAATAATCTTAATGCAATATTTCTTGTCGCTTTTTATTGAAAGAGTATCTTTATCTAATATATTAGTTTATTATGACCTATCAAACAAACTGCAATGTTCTGATAATTTTATTATAATATTTTAAAAACACAGAACTTGCATTATTCTCTACGATTATTCATGTTTAGTATTCTATTAAAATGAATGTAGCATTAATTAATTGTAGTTCTTTCAATATATTAAAACTTGTATATATATATTACTTAATTTAATGAAAATATTATTTACGTTTCTGAAGTGATTATGTACATGTGTATTTTCTGACTCAGTGTTAATTTTATGTGCTGGACGATTGATGTATAAGAGATCAACTATATCTGGTATTCACCAGATAAGAGGAGCTCGTATGATTGAATACATTCAATATCTAATACAAACCAACCGATAGTTAAATATAAATTAATTTCTATAATTTTTTTTACTAAAACAGCCTGCATTAATTTCAATCTTATAAACAAGTTAATAA